GAGTAAATTCATGTTGAACTCTGAATTACAGATAACTTGCCCGAGTGATAAGCAATTAGAACACTTCTCCTTTTGTCCTTGGACAATATGGGTTAGAAGGTGCACCTGGCCAGTCGGGAAAGTTACTCTCTTCTATTGTAGGAATCATGGCAATCTAATTCTTATCCTAATGAATGGTGGACTACAATGATCTATCGTACCCAACAAAAACACAAGTGGATTCTGTTTCGATTCTTAACCTTACCAATGGCATGCTAAGGTGCAAGTCAAGATCTGGTGTGAGATTCTTATGTTGATCTTATGAACAGATAATTTATTCTCCATTATCTTTAGATCGATTGCGGGGCTGTGACAGTTCTATTTGAAATTAATGCGGCACACAATTCCTTTTTGTTACTTCAGATTTGGGAAATCATGAACTTCACTTCATGGGAGATTCAGATTCCAGGTCTCGTGAGGAGAAAGCTACCTTGAGATTTCTAATTTAAGATAAGGGGCGGGAGATAATGGTAGCTTCGACTTTGAAATTTAGCAGATGATGAGAATCCTTGCTGACCGTGGAGGCTTCCAGTTTTAAATGTTATCTTCCTTTCTTTTTCCAAGATGTGGAATGCTAACGCTAGATTGACTATTCCTCTGTATTAGGAATCAAGTCTTCAGTTTATCTGCTGTACACGCACGAACACGCACAGAGGTATGTCGGTAGGAAATTATGCAGGTGCATTTCTCCATTCATCTGTGCTCATTTGAAAAGGCTTCACTGTAATAACACAGCCGCGACCCACGGAGGCTGCTTCTTGTTTTTTATTTTTTTGAGAAAACCCATAAATTCTTTCATAATGAATGGACAAAACTCCGGCCCGAAGGACTGTAAAAATTAGTTTCTAATTAGTGCTAAATCGATAACCATTTTTTATTACGAATTAAGTGCGTAAACAAGAGAGTTGTTCTGCAAAACCAAATGGAAAATTCGAAACAACGAATATGACAAGAACATCGAGGCCTCAGCCTTTTTCTTCGCAGTTTCAAGGCAACTCCATGCCGTCACTTGTAGAGTTTAGTTTACTGGTAAACTCGCATGGAAAGGGGAGTTACACTTCGGTGTTACATATTAGAAGCTCTCGCCATTTTGCAAGCTTGAAATCGACATGCTATAAGGTCCACATCCACATTGAAGTCAGTCCACCTCGAAGAACAAAAGGTCAAAACCCATTCATTCCTATTTAAGCAGGTATATTAGAATTCCAACATAGTTTCATACAATTTTTAGGAAAATAACACAAATTAAAAAAAAGTACTAGAGAAATAATATAATTTGAATAGTTGAACACAACTATTATTGGGATTGTTTGAAAAAATAATGTATTTCTTAATTTAATTAACATGCATAAAAAATCAATATAAAAATTTAATAATTAAAAATAAAATTCAAGATTCAATTCCTAAGAAAAAATAAATCACTGAAAATACAGGAGAGTTTTGTTTTCAACGTATTCAATACCATTAGAAAGATTTTGATAAAATAATTCTAACTATATTTTAAAAAATTATTAAACATGATCATAATTTTTTTTTTCTTAGCTATTATCTTCTATCCTATCTTTTGATCATTTAATTTTAATAAAATATTTGATTGATTTTTTATTAGGCTCATTAATTTGAAAAAGAAAAATGTTTTGAATCATTCACTAAATAAATAACCACTAGTTTAAACACTGTTGTATTTAAAATTTATAATTTTTTAAATATCTTTTCAATCTGTATTATTATCCAAATGTTTTAGAAAATTATGCTATTTAAAAAGAAAAAAAAACAAAATCTCAATACCAGCACGTCCAGGATTTCAAAAGAACTACCATCAGCATTAACTTTAATAATATCCATCCCAGGTTTAACACAAAGGATAATTATTACCTTTTATATCATTTGTAATCTCTTATAATAAAGAATTTAAAAAGGAAATTATAACTTTGGAAAAGAAAAACAGTAAAAGATAAACATAAAATTTAACTGATAATCTTTCAGGACGAGGAGACTCGAATCTCAGTCGAGATAAAAAGAAAACTCTAAGCTTCAATGGAGGGTCAAGACAGAGCTCATAATTGGATTTGGCTTGTAATTGCATTTGGTCACAATTATTACTATTTTTGTTTGTTTGAATGAATAAAGTTCATAATATTTGTTCTGATTGGTCCAGGGAAAATCATGGCAAAGGAACAATGGAAAAATGGTAGAAAAAACTTGTCTACGGCATGACATTGATGCTCATGTGATGGATCCAAATTCAGTGGGCTCAACCCCCAAAAATAATTATTGATGCTCATGTGATGGATCCAAATTCAGTGGGCTCAACCCTCAAAAATAATTAGGCTAAAAAAGCTCCACTGGATAAAACAAGTCCAGTCCATTGCTTGAATTAATTGGATCCACACTTAGTGCCAATTAATCAGGGTGTTGGGTGAGCTAATTTTTTAGGGGTGTTGGGCATGGACCCAGCATCCTATGAGCTGGGAATACTCCACACTTAACACTGTCTTAAAAATATTTTTCAGGATATAGGTTTTATATTAATTTAATATATATTATTAAATATAGAATACCACTTAGAATATCACAAAAATTAAATTATATTATAGTTTTTTTTTATAAAATAATAAAACTTATAAACTATAAAAACCCTATAAATTCTTCAAGCACTAAGTTTATAATCTCTTTATTTTTAATATTTTCAGTATATATATTTTTAGAGTTTATTTCTCTAAAATATTATTGTATTTTCTCTATCTATATAATTATTAATTTTATCATTAAAGAGTCATTTATTATAATTTTTTTTTCAGGTATTAGTCATATTGGCGTACCAAATACTATAACTACAACTACAAGTCATTCTAACTTATCAAAGTACGAACCGCTATTACTAATTACTTGGACATTCTATGTTAAATCATTAGATAACTAAGTTAGAAAAAATAGATGAAATTACTTGAATTAAATAATTATCAACGATTCAGTTCTATTCTCTAGCATCTTGGATTTTGGTATGGTAATTTGCTCCATTGCTCCATGCCTCTCTTTTGGCAAAAGTCCAGCTGTTGTTCTTGCTGAGATTTTCCCAGCGAGATTGAGGTCTACTTGCCATAGTATATCAGCTGCATCTGGCAAAGAAAGCTGCACCCGTCAAAGAAGGGGCAATTGTGGGTGCGTTCGGATCTTTGTGTGCTGTAGATGGTATCGGAGTGAGGAAGGTTCTTAAAATACCGGGTGTCGTAAATTTCCTGGGACTGATGTTTACTTTCTTGGTACTCGAGTCGAAGGGAAAATCACCTGAGGAATTGCCTGGTGAGGCGAAGCAAGAAAATGGATCCACATCTGAGTCTAGGCAAACCGTTCCAGTTCAGCTAGGCTTTCTTTTTATGTAGTATCTCTGTATAATCTTAGGAATCTACCGAAAGATGCATGGATAAGCACGCTTATGAGCATAATAAGCTCAGGATTGTGCTTTCTTTTCTAGCTGTGAACTACCTGGTCCTAGATGCAGGGAGAATAAAAAAAGGTCTCTGGTGGCATGATTCTCAGTTTTCTAGCACAGTTCCTATAGATTGAATCTCTATTTCACCGATCACATAACCTTTCACTTAAACTATCGCACGAAAGTGTTGTTGTACGTATTCCTGCACTCTATCTAATCGCCTTTTTAATTATTTTTCCAAAGCATGTCATTTATTTTTCTTTTATGGGCACTTCTGTAACGGCATTTATTGGAAACATTCATCCGTCTCCATCGCCTTCGATTGAAATGTGAAATTAAGGTGGAAATTAGGGACCATTTCTCTGCCTTGTATGTGTAAATTGTTTCTGTTATTTCTCGGAGTAATGTTTTTTGGGCTCACAACCCTTGCATGAATGATGTTATGCTTAACTAGAATAGCGTAGTTCGATAGTTAAAAGGCAAAGAACTTTCTCTATGTTCAAAGAAGTGAAGAAGCACCCTTACAGGCTTACAGCCACAACACTCCTGGATGAGCACTAGACAGCAAGCAGGCTCCCAGCTTGATTAATTAATCCTTTCCTTCATTGAAACCAGCATGGTTTAAGGTGCCTTTAGCACGCTTCATAAGCTAAGTATCTCTCTGTTCCACCGAGAGTCCAATCCAACGAAGACAGGCATCTTTGATTCTACTTTATCCTACGCTTTTTGCGTGGGACTCTGTTAGCAGTACATTAACGATATCCTTTTCATAGTGCAAGAAGCAGTAAGAGCTAAAAATAAATTTGCGTAGTTGATCAGTGCGCTTCATTTTCTCATAACATTCTCATGATTTGCATCTTTATCAGACTCCTAAGCAGAACCTTCACTTTATGAGCGCATAACTAATCAGACTCCTAAGCAGAACCTTAACTTTATGAGCGCATAACTATCATTTCCACGCTCCTTTTCGTATTTTTTTGTGATTTTTCTTACACAGACTTTGGGTTCTGAATGGACACTGAGTAATCCAGACTTGCATCAATTCTTCCTTCTTCCACAGCCTTTTTGCAACCATTGGAAAACATGACCGTTTTTATCTGGTTTCAACTGTTGTCTCTGTTTCATACCAAAATAATGAATCATGAGTAGTTGGTTTGGAATTGTGATAAAAATTGTTTTTAAAGTAATTTTTATTTAAAAATATATTAAAATAATATTTTTTTTACATTAACAATTAAAACAATACAAAATAAAAAAAGTATTAATTTAAAACTAATTTAAAAAAAAAAAAAAAACAAATTGTGGTCGGACCGGCTAATCCCCCAGGGAATGACAAATTCATGGGAATCTGATATTTCGAATGATCATGAAAAGAATACAAATTCCTGAAAAATATTCAAGATTTTCGGATGGTAGAAGTTTGAGATGCCTTCGGACCCCCAATGGATAACGTTCAAAAGCTTCTCACCCAAACACTATTGTGGGGTTAAGAGAATTCATCTGATCGCTTGAATCCCATTAACCTTCTAAGAGAATCCAGACTTAATTTCATTAACAAGATATTAATCCATGTTTGACAAGAAGACTCGCTGCATTTTGTATAAAACAGAATCATAACCTCATACGAAAGATATTTGTTTACAAAACAAAAGGGAAGGATCAAAAAGTTCTCAAACGATAAACAATATAGCTAACAACATTATCTTATGCTGGTTAAGAAACACCGCAGTAAGAAAACTCCTGCACGCACCTCTCATCTTTTCCCAGGGAAGAAAAAAACTGAAAGGAGAGGAAACTCATCCTCTTTCTAAGTGAAAACCCAGTAGGATACTCGCTGCTGCAGCTGCTGCAGCTCTCTATGCGGTATGTACACTACTACCAAGTACACACATCTATACCATACAAGCATGTCTTTACTCAGTCTAAGCCCCCCTGTCCCTTCATGTTAAATCAGCCGCATTTGCTACCCATGGATGTCCTGAAAACAAACATATGAAACTTGACAATTAACTGGAAGCAAGAGCTAAATGAACATTGTATCAAGAAGGACAATTTAACTCTTACATACAAGATTTAATTCGCTCAACTTACTTAGCACTTGTTCAGCAGAAAATCGCCTGGAGACATCTTTACAGAGCATCCTCCGTAAAAGATCTTTAACACTTGTCGACGCCGACTGAAAAACTCTTGCAGAAAACCTCAAATTCCCTCTCAAAACCGCCTCAAATATCTCCACCACTGTTTCCCCATAAAACGGCGGAAATCCAGTTAACATTATGTACAACACCACCCCAGCACTCCACACATCCACCTTCTCTCCGTACTCTTTTCCCAACAAAACCTCAGGGGGCACATAATACGGTGTCCCCACTACACCATTCACCATCTCCCCTTCCATTACAACGTCAGAAGATCCAAAATCCGCTACCTTAACTGTATTCCCCTCGTCAAATAAGATGTTTTCAGGTTTGATGTCTCGATGAACGATGCCGTATGTATGACAGTGAGAGATGGCTTTCATCAGTTGAGTGAAAACCACTCTAGCTTCATTCTCTGAAAGAACCCCGTTAGTGATTATCAAATCGTGAAGGTCTTGTTTAGAGCATAAGTCGATGACCATGTGAAGGTGAGTTTCGTCTTCGTAAAGGTTGTGGAGTTGGATTATGTTGGGGTGAGGAGAAAGGAGGTGGAGGGTCTTGGGCTCTGTTAAGAGGCATTGCGCTTCGAGGGAGTCGCCAGAGACGAGGCTCTTGACGATGGATTTGACAGCTAAAGAATCGCCAATGGAGCGAGAGATGCACCTGAAAACAATACCGAATCGTCCACGGCCGATCTCCTCGCAGATTTGGTAGTCTCTGTTAAGTGCGTCGCTCATTTACTCTGTTTTAGCTACGAAGCTGTAAATTTTGTTTGTTTGGTGGCGTGGTTTGTTTTTTAAAGAAGACAAAGGAGGAACAATATTTTTATTTTTAAGGAATGTATTTAAGGGATAACCGGCAGAGCATGGGATCTAACGGATGGAAACAACTTCAACTGAAAGAGCCGCTGGATTAGAAACAGGTCGGATGTTTGTGTCTTATGCTTTATTAATTTAATGAGTGGCATGGTGGGGTGTATGTTTATTGGTTTATTCAAGGAATAAGACAGAGTCCGTACATGTTAGGACTTCTAACGGAAGTTATCCGAAGGTGGCGTGGTTTGTGTCGGTACTTGCTGTGTATCAATGTTCGACCAAAATGTAATGACGTTTCAAAGAGTAGATTAGTGAAGCCTATCACTGTGCTTGTGTTGTTTTGATTTTCTCATTTAATTTTGGATAAGGTGAGATCTCTGTATTGGGTAAAGGAATCTTGGATTTGTGAGGTGATGGATCCTAGGGGTAAAAGATTCTCTAATGGGCAAAACATATTGCTAGGAATATGTTTCTTGAAGCATAGGAGGTTATTTTTTAATGCAAGTAGAAAAAGATTTATACTCATTTCTTTTTGGTGAATTTATGCTCATCTTTTTTCATGGAGCAAGATACCGAAGAACATGCGATTGATATGAAGGCACACTCTACGCAAATGATATGCGCATGGCAGTTTTCTTACCTCTTATCCATTGAACGATTTTCACTCTCTTCTAAATTATTATTTTTGTAGTAAAAAAAGTATTTTTCTAGTTTTCCTTTGCTGAAACTGAGTCCACGTGGAGTCACAAATAATGAACTTTCCTAATTAGCATTTCCTACGTGCCCGAATATGTATTGCGTAAATGCCCATCTTACTTTAATCGGCACGCCAAGGTTTGTAAGCTGTCAAAAACAACCATACAAACGTTGCTCAGGTAATGCGAGGCCCACTAGCAGAAACTTGCACCAATAGACCGTATTTGCTCTCTTATTATAAGAAACGTGGAGCACTTCCATATGTAATTATTTTATTTAATAGACCGTATTTGCTCTCTTATTATAAGTAACGTGGAGCACTTCCATATGTAATAATTATATATAATCCTTGATTACTAAAACTTAATTTTTTTTATATGTTTTGAATCTTTTATATATAATCCTTGATTACTAAAACTTAAGTTTTTTTATATGTTTTGAATCTTTCCGATTCCGATTCCGATTCATTAATTTTAAAAATAATTTTTAAGTTTTTTAAAAAAATCATTTTAACATATTTTAATATAAAAATATTTTAAAAAATAACAATAATCACACTTAAAAAAACACTCTGAAAGATCATGAAATTTCTTTCGCCGACAGTATGATATGAGCCATGGGCTTCTTTTCAGTGCAAAATAACTGGGGGGGCTTCTCAAGATTAGAGGACAAATAAAGTTGGCGAAAAGGAACTGCGGGTCATACGAGGTTGTCCTTTTCATGACTTGCAGAGGCAGCAAAGGGTCGTGGGGGATCTTAATGTGTGATTTATAAGTGGGGTTTGCTACGGAATCCGGACAATATAAGGTACAAAGGAAGGACGGTCACAAAGAAAAAGCAAATGCGTGCAAGCTAGCTAGCTCTTTGTTTGTTCAAAGTGCTGCTTTCACGCTCGAACTGTTCACCAATATTTGTGACAGACACAGGTAGAGACAAGTATCTCGTGGTAAGCAATGATACTTCTCCATTTCTATCTTTAAAATTATGTATCTTCTTCGGAGTGTGTGTCTTTGAGGTTGCATAAATGGTTCCTTAGTCCTCACACTATCGGGTCTGCCTGCTCTCAAAAACATTGTTGTCATGTTCTGTTTGAGATATAACAGAGTTTAGGGTTCGAAACATTGGATTCATTTAATTAATCCAATTCAATTATTTTTGCTCCAAATAATTTCATTTTAGTTCTTATTAAATACTCTTTAAAATTAACAAGCCAAAGCCAAAGTCATCGGTTAACTTAGAAAATTACTAAACTTAACAAGATTAATATTCAAAATAATTTAAAGTAAAACCTAATTTAAATTAAACTTTAAATTTATTAAAATCATTTTAATTTAATAATTTAAATTGTTAGCTGAAATTACAAATATTATTTATATTATTTTCTAGCATCCTTTTCAAGTAAATTTTTTTTAGAATTGAAACTTATACATATTTATACTATTTTTTACTTAATTTTTATTAAATAAATGATAATAATCTCGACTACTTGATCATTAAGACTTTAATATTATGTTAAAAAATTATTTTAATTCAATAACTTAAGTTATTATAAGTTATTAGATGATATCTTAAAATATAATATATATTAAAGTTGTTAGGTTAATGAATCAACTAGGTTAAATTGAGTTTAATATCTATATAATAAAAAAATTATAAGCAAAAAAGTAAAACAAAAACGAAATAATTAATTATCTAAAGAAGCCTCGTTGCCGTTCATGGTACTACCAAGAACCTAAGTTGGAACTTCTAAATGAGTTTAATTCAAGGATAATTTTGTTTTCTTTTGACTTTATAATGTTCAAATTAATTAGATCATTTCAAAAACATGATTGATTATATTCTTAGTGTTTATTTGCTTAATTAGAGAAGAAAAGCCATATACCATATCTTGATTTTTGCTCAAATTTCAAGTAGAATATATATAAATACTTTTAGCTAATGTTAACATCATGGTTGTTAAAAATATATTTTTGATATGGTATGAAAAATATAAAATAAATTCAAATAAAAAAATAAATTATAAAATCATAATTTTTTTCATACTTAGTTTACTATAATATTCTCATTCAGCAACTAAATAATTAAATTTCATGCATGGTAGTCTCTAAATTATACTACTATCTAGATTAAAATTTGCAAATTGCATGTTATATGGACAATCAAGTTAAGTATATATTAATTTAATTTTAATCTGATTTTATCAATTTTTAAGTTTTTAAAATAATTCTATATGTTAAGTATATATTAACTTGTAAAATCATATAATTTTACAAGTTAAATCATAATTTTAATAATCTACACACAAACATCACTTTTCTAATTGTGAATTAGCTATCCGACTTGACTCATTTTACATGCTCCCCGTAATCAATCTATTAAGCAATTGATGTGCTATATAAATTTAAAAGTGACATTCATTCTTGTCTACAAAATAACATCAGGAGATGTCATAGAACGGTTTATATATATATATATAGGAACAACATTAATTCCAACACGATGGATGTTTCCTGATGTAATAATCTCTAGCTGTCGGAGAGAATATACCTGTTTTCATTACCAACTGCATACTCTTGTTTTATGCCTTCACTTCGAAATTGACGAGTCATGATTCGCAACAAATGTCATCCGCAACTGTTTTGACAACACAATCAACACCAAAACTTGAGATCTTGAATCTTGCATGCATACATTTCAACTGTGACTTTTACTTGAGGCAGGAGAGGTTGGAGCAATGCTGAACACTTACTGCTGTGCCTTAAACTTGGATATTCATAGTTTTCAGTTATACATATACATACATGCATGCTTGGGAACTCTCACGAGATGGCATGAAGTGCATGATTGATGCTGGACGAAAGATGTTAGAGACAGACTAATATGTCATTAAGCTGAGAACAAATATATGGCGTACGTGTAAGAGAAATTGTAAAACTCTAAAAAAACAAGCTTTGTATTGATTCATAAGCGGAGGCTTAATCAAGATTTTCAATACTTGCTGAATTTTTGCTACTTTATTTTGAAGGTTAAATAATAAAACCCTCACAAGTATTCTAGATAAACTAATACTAATTAAAAAGAAGAAGAAAAAGTGTAGGAGTGTAATATATATTGTTTTTTAAAGTATTATTCGCTTAGAAATATATCAAGATAATTTATATTTAGTTTTTAAAAATTATTTTAGACATTAAAAACAGCCTGAAAATATAAAATTAATTTTTACTACTTTAAAGGTTAAGTAATAAAAGCCTAGCAAGTGTTCTAGATAAACTAAATTAATGAAAAAAAAACAGTAATTGAGCACCAAAAAAATAAAATACAACCCCACTCCTCTCACAAAACTTCAATTCAGACTCCAACTGCAATTTAACCATTTATATAGATTCAATAGAAAATTAAAATATTTTGGTTATGGAAAAAATTTAGGAGGCTCATGTGATGGTCGGTCGACCATTTGATTTTGCTCTGAGTTGCTCAGAGAGCGGGTGATCAGGGAAGCCGTGTTTGCTGGAGGGGAAGCTACACAGTTGAACAACTCATCCTATCACGGTACTTGGGACCTCTCATGAGAGAGCATGAGGTGCATGATTGAAGCTTGAAGAAAGTGCTATTGACACCAGGATCGAACATGGTCAAATGTGAAATATCACCTTGTAGAAGCAATCTATTATTGCTCCAAAATGCAAAGGAGGCGAGGGCTCATCAAGTAGATCAACCACCTATTTCTTAATCCAAGACTCCTTAACACGATAATCTTTTGCTGCCCATATTTCAAGTTCTTTCTTCTTACTGTACTGTCTATGCCTTGAGAGGATCACAACAAGAGAGTCATCGTTGCTTGATTCAAGAACACGTATACTAGCATCTTCCTTATCGATGCCAGTATCATACTTGGGATGAGAAGATCACAGTCCCATCCTTCTTATCCGTTGACGTCAACGAATGTAAGGATCACACTCCTTTCCTTCTTATCCTTTGACGACGAATGAAAATATCTTTGCACGTATGTACCTGAACAAGCACATCTTGCTCTAATTCTGTGGCCTCACGATCATCAGGAGTTTTTCTCCAGATGTCATACCTGGGATGCACAGCACGAAGTGTTTATCTAGGAGTGCGGTAAAGATTTTTTTTTTAATATAATTTTTATTTGAAAATATATTAAAAAAATTATTTTTATTTTTTTAAGAAATTATTTTTAATATAAATACATCAAAATAATTTAAAAATATAAAAAATATTAATTTAAAGTAAATAAAAAATAAAAGTAAAAATAATTTTTTAAAAAAACACTTTTAAAATACAAAAATAAATGGGACAAAAGATCATCTTCAATAAAAATGCTAAATAAAAAACTAAAAATAGAAAAAAAAATATTACT